TTGAGGTAGTTGCAAAAGCTTATATACTTACTACAAGTGCCGAAAGAAATATCTCATGATAACACTGAGAATGAAGATGGCTCAATGCTCGTGAACTGGAGAATGCAATTTAGATCATGAAAATCCGAACGCAAATAGAAGAGCTTGAGCAATTATTCAATGTTGAGGATATTATCCTATTTGATTGTGACTAGACCTGAACTTGACCTCAATGGCCCGACCTTGGCCCACCAATTTGGGCCATTTCCGAGGTCGAGGTCGAGCTCGAAGCCGGGCCCAACAATAGGTTGGGTCTTCATCCCTACCCCACGTATCCTCTTTGACCTTGATGTACAACTCCTAGGGATGATAGTCCATTTAAGTATAAACTTCTAGTTCTTACAAATTTTAGCCTAACTCAAATTGTACACTTCTTTATTCTTTTATTTGATCAAATATTTCATTATTATTTGCCATATAACTTCAACATCTCAAGCCGGTGGTTTATTTCACAACAGTTGGTATCAGAGTAATTCTGATATCTTGTTTATTTTACAACAATTGGTATTAGAGCTCCGGATTCAGTAGTTCCGCAAGAGCGTAATGTTTGATTTGTTCGAGGCTTTTTTATTCGTGATAGCTTCCATGAAGTATGACATTCCGCTTTTGGATCGAAGTACTAGATTTTCGCTATGGCAGGTTAAGATGTGTCCAGTACTCGTACAGCTGGATTTGGATTATGCGTTGCTGGGTATGGACAAGATGCCAGCAACTTTGACCGCGGAAGAGCAATTACGAAAGGATAAAAAGGCAGTTTCTCACATTCATCTTCATCTATCAAATTCCATTCTTCAAGACGTTTTGAAAGTGAGATCAGCAGCTACTTTGTAGTTGAAGTTGGAGCAATTATGCATGACCAAGAGTCTTACAAGCAAATTACATCTCAAGCAACGGTTATGTTGACCAATGGTTGACGTCTCGTTTGATTATCACAAATAAATTATGTTTATTACTAACAAATTGATTTCAAGTGTCAATGGTGATTATTGCATATGAATAAAATTGATTACACGAAGTTCGAGGCCAAGTAAGTTGCATACAATGATCGACGTGGAAACAAAATCAATCAATTGAGGCTATGAAGAATGATATTGCAAAAACTCGCAAAAAGATGCCTCAACGCGAATCGGGACAAAAGTCAAAGTACCGTCAAGCAATGCAAGTCAAGATGTTCAAAATAAAGTAATTTCACAATCATGTGTAAAGGTAAAACAATTCAATACTCAATAATGAATCGTGATGAGCTCAAAGTTTTGATTTTACAAACCATGACAAAAATGTTTTACTCGAAAAAT